AATGCGACCAGTCTTTTATACTGGCGGATAGATAACACTCTTTAACATGATTGGCTGTTATGTCACATGACAGACCACCATCGGATCGACAAATATGTCCCATGAATACAATAGATTAATTTATCGACATAAATAACATCATGCCTTGGCTTGATGTTTGTTTATTTGGACATCAAAACCTCACCATCACATTTGACAAACTGATGTTTCTTTTCCTGTTTTCCACTGCAGTACCAAGAACAACTCTACAGTGAACAATTCCTCTTCTCTATTTATTCAACTACGTTTTCTCCATTCATTTATTTATTCATTAATTTTATTTATTTTGTCCTTTTGTTTTTGGTATATTTATTTATTTATTTACTTATTTATTGTAGTGTTTAACTATTACTGTATTTCTTATTTATTCATTTATATATTTATTTAGTGTTTTTTTTTTTTTAGTGTTAGTGCGTCTAATAAATATGCTTGTAACCGTAATTGTCAATGTAAATAATAAAGAAATAAAAAAAAATTGTTAAAATAAAAAAAACCCTCCAATTTAGTTAATATTTTAGATCAGACAAAAACCAAGTCTCGTCNGAAGACTCGTTTTGAAACAGAGGCAAAAGGAAACATTCATCCATGAGCTGCTCACAGGAGCCTTTGATTTCTTTAGTTGAAGAGAAGAACTTAAGTACATTTTGATATCTATGATGTCCATAAACTGCACATGCGAATTAAGGCTCACTTATTGTATGTCTCAGGCTTCAGCTCTGTACCTGTCGGGGAGTTAAATGCTCTACGTCATGCGAATGATTGCATTCAGTTTTTGAAATAAAAACAAAAACGTCCAATTCCTGCTGGCTGGTAGATTAATTTTGTACAGCAATACTAAGGGCAATCCCTGTTGGTTGATAGGTTATTTTATACCCCAATACAGTCGACGGGTAATCTACCTGCCAGCAGGAATCGGGAGTTCATTAATTTATGCTCATAGAACCCCCGGCGTAGAACGGACTCGAGAAAGCGGTGGAAATCGAGCCTAATTATTACAGGGCATCAAATAAAGGGTTTTGTCATAAAAAACGTCTTTCTTCGATGCGCTCCACATGTGCAATAAGTTTCTAATGCAACCTAGTTGAAATGGAAAAGAAAAGACAAAAGATATTGAGGTGCAGTGAGATGATCTTTTTAAATAAGAAAAAAAAAAAAAAAAGACGGGGTATTCGGGTACTGGAAACTTTAAACAACGTAGTGCATATTATCCTTTTTATGCATGGGAGGAAATTAAAAGACAACCGGGAATGCCACTTGGGCAGTTATAGTAATATGTGAACTAATAGTTCCGAGTCAGGAAACAGGACTATGCACAGCTTAAGTCAGTGATTTTTAACGCTGTCCCACGCCTAGTGGATAGTGTTCATAAGTCTTGTTTCCGTTTGACGATAATCTTCTTTTATGCTGGCGAATCCTGTTGAATACCCTCCTCCTCATCGAGTGGTTGGGCTCTAGGTCCTTCCCGCTTTAGACCGTCTCTCTCATTTCGCCTCTGTAAACGTTGAGAGCTGACTAGACCACTTGACTTGCATGTTATGATCCGGTGAAACTCGCCTCTAAATGCTGGATTCATGCCAGAGTATATAACAGGGTTTATAGTGTTTGAAATGTAGAGAAAAAACATGCACAAAAGTTCCACACTGCGCGGAATGTGTGTAGTGATAAAAAAGCGCTTCAATAAAACAATAACCCAAAGAGGAAGCCAACATGACATGAAAGTAAAAACAACAATAAATAGCGATTTGCTGAGTTTAATTTCGTGAACAGAGATCTGAGGAGCGCTCATCCTAATGTTAAATGCCATGTTATGTTGACGTATGGTTTTAAGAACTTTAGTGTAACAAAATGTTGTGGCCAACAAAGGTATTGCAAGAAAAACAGTCAAAACAAATGAGTAATGAACTATTTTTGCTCGCTCCCCAAGATGCTTAATAGAGCATTGTGCATAACCAGGCACAAACTCAAATCCTTGCCAGTTTGCAAGTCTCGGAATTGCTATGTAACAGGCCACAAAGAACCACACTAATGCCAGCCATACGCGAGATTTTCTGTGAGAAAATATTTTCTGGTAACTTATACTTGATCTGCATATCCGAAAGTACCTGTTGACAGCAGTCAAACTCATGGTTGCTGGGGAAACGTAGATGACAAACAGGCTGATGAAAGCGTGAAGCTGGCAAATGGTTTTACCAAATGGCCATTTTCCTGAAAACAATACTATTTCACCGAGAGGCATCACCAAAACAGCGGAGAGTAAGTCGCTCACAGCCAAAGCTATGATGTAGAGATTGGTAGATGTGCGCAATCTTTGATTTCTGTAAACCGACAAACAGACCAGAACATTTCCAAGGAGTGACAAAATGTTTAGAACCACTAAAAAGGAGCCCTCCAAGATAATCAGAGTTAAACTTCTTGATCCAAGATCGCCTGTCGTCATTGTGAAATACCAAATGGCCGGAGGGATCTCTTTCTACCAGCACAAATCAAATGATGCCGTCGTTAACGCTTGCAACGCAATAATTTTGTGCCATTATCTTGGAGCATATGCATCACCAAGTAAGCACACCAGTTGGCAGAAATGACATGGAGCATGGAGTTGGTTTTGAAGATACTTGATTATCCCCTTTTTTCATTTCCACAGTTTATCTTAATTATTTCATTAAAATAATTGGTTAATTTCTTTCATTGGGTTGTCACTCACGCAAAAATAAAGTCAACAAAGTCTGTATTGTATTATTTGAGTTTGTTGTTTTTACTTGCCTAAGGTTGCGAATATTTGTTTAACGTTGCTGAAGATGGACAGAAACTTACACATACAAGTGATACACAAGTTTGAATAGCTTGGCCACTCACTACTCCTTAGATTAAGCAATTCTTCCGACAGAGCTTCCGTTGTGCCAAAGTTGATTACTTTGAGCTGCCAAGTTATCTGACTTCTGCCCGAGTGGCTTCGAAAGAGAGTAATAGTCTACCTGTTTTAATTGATAGATCGGTGCCCTTGATGGTATCTGAGTGGGAGGATTTTTTTCAATAAATAATTAAGACGTCATGATTTCTCATCGAGCTCAGAAAAATTCTCTTGGCTCAAAACAAGATATTAGGGTCACATTCTCCTAGCTCAAACTAGAGCTGGGGGAGCATAACAACTCGTCAAGTGTCATTCTGTGTTACTTCGAAGGTGTAAAACAACAACAACAAAAACAATAACAACAACAGAGTGCTTGTGGTCAATACTGTAACTCGGACCACTCGATCCTGAATCAAAGATGCTATGTCATGCCGATCCAAATTTAGCCTGTCAAGTTTTGAAAAACATAAAAACACAAAATATCCTCGTTGTTAACATGGTACGATATGCTAGTGTTGTAGCATTTCAGTCTAATGTGAATTTCTCCGCAGTCGTAGGAAAAAAGGACTCCTCTTTCTTTGGGAAAACACTAAAAGTAAGAGTACTGTCGGGGGAATCGGCCTCTGGGGCTGGTGGAAATCCGTTTGTAACGCAAGTATCGTAAAGTGAAGTAAAGTGAAGCGAGGCAAAGCGAAAAGTGACGTGAAGCGAGGTGAGGTGAAATGGGGAGAATTAAAATAAGTTGAAGTGAAGTGAAGTGCAATTAAGAGAAGTGAAATCAACGGAAGAGAAGTGAAGTTAAGTGAAGTAAATAAAAGTGAAGTAAAGTGAAGTGAAGAGAAGAAAAGAGAAGAGAAGACAAGTGAAGTGAAGTGAAGTGAAGTGAAGTGAAGAGAAGAGAAGTTAAGCGAAGTAAGGAGAATTGAAGTGAAGTGAAGTGAAGTGTAATGTAGTGTTGTGTAGTGCAGTGCAGCCTAGTGTAGTGTAGTGTAGTGTAGTGTAGTGTAGTCTAGTCTAGTCTAGTCTAGTCTAGTCTAGTCTAGTCTAGTCTAGTCTAGNCACCGTCACCGCAACACGTATTTTCAGCGCCATGATTCGTTCATCTACACTTAAAATAATACTTTTATACCTCAACAGTTTTCCACAAAATAAACACATCACAACGCTTTTCATTGCTCATATGTCGATACTGCTGATGCCTGTAAATCAGTTTTCTTGATCTTGAGAAGAAACCTTGCGCGAAACTAGGAAGCGGACGAAGAAAAAAGAGAGGAATCTCGAGAGATGGCTTTTACCCCCAGATCCCTCTCTTCTTTTACTTCGCTCACTTTTCTTGGTGTATAAACCCTCTGACCGAAGCCCTATCTTGACTAAAAGTATTGTTTTCCGGAGCTAGCTGCGTTTGCGTTCGATATCGATAATCGTTTGAAAAACTAAGAAGGTCAAGAAAGTCGCAGTACCTTGGAGCGGGTATAGACCGGTATTAGAGTGACCTATAGACGAAGCTGAATAGCAAAAGGAAAAAACATAGTAAACGTGTGTAATTTCCAAAGCTTCCTTAGCCTAGAAAGCCTTCTTTCTTCCCTGCCCACGCAACATCTGAATATATTTTGTGGCCGGTAGTTTTCGCCACCTTTTCCTACCGAACACTTAGCTCCGGGTGGCAGAGGTCGAGTTACTTGTCAAGTTACGTATAAATGAAAACAGCTTCGGATTGGCTGCCGAAGCATATTGAAGATTAACTAGAATGGCCTGTATTTTGTTACAAATTATTAACCTCAATGGTACGTGTTTGTCATAAATTAGCACGGATTAACGAAGTTTACATACTAAATATAGGTCAAATTTAGGTTTGAGAAACGCAAATAAAAGAACTCCAGCACCGCAAACAAGTTCATTTCACCGAACACCACAGCGTGAAAAACACAAACATCGCACACCGTAGGGTTTGAGATCACCGCAACACCGCAAGTTGAGATTTTATTCACCGNAGTGTAGTGTAGTGTAGTGTAGTGTAGTGTAGTGTAGTGTAGTGTAGTGTAGTGTAGTGTAATGTAGTGTACTGTAGTGTAGTGTAGTGGAGAGAAGTAACTTGAAGTGGAGTGGAGTGAAGTACAGTGAAGTGGAGAAATGTGAAGAGAAGTAGAGGAAAGTGGTGTGGAGTGGAGTGGAGTGGAGTGGAGTGGAGTGGAGTGGAGTGGAGTGAAGTGGAGTGGAGTGGAGTGGAGTGGAGTGGAGTGGAGTGGAGTGGAGTGGAGTGGAGTGGAGTGGAGTGGAGTGGAGTGGAGTGGAGTGGAGTGGAGTGGAGTGGAGTGGACTGGAGTGGAGTGGAGTGGACTGGAGTGGAGTGGAGTGACGTGAAGTGAAGTGAAGTGAAGTGAAGTGAGGTGAGGTAAAGTGAAATGAAGTGAAGTGGAGAGAAGTGAATTAAAAAGTAGTGTGAAGTTGGGTGAAAGTGGAGTGGAGTGTAATGGAGTGGAGTAGAATGGAGTGGAGGGGAGTGGAGTGGAGCCGAGAAGAGTAGAGTAGAATGGAGTGGAGTGGAGTAGTGTAGAGTAGAGTAGAGTAGAGTAGAGTAGAGTAGAGTAGAGTAGAGTAGAGTAGAGTAGAGTAGAGTAGAGTAGAGTAGAGTAGAGTAGAGTAGAGTGGCGTGTAGCGGAGTGGAGAAGATTGAAATAAAGTTAGAAAAAGTGAAGAGAAGTGAACTGCGGAGAATTGGATTGGAATCGATTGGATTGGAGTGGAGTGAAGTGAAGAGAAGTGAACTGAAGTGAGGTGAAAAAGGGAATAGAAGTTAAGTGGGTTTGAATGGATTGGATTGGATTGGAGTGGTGTGGAGTGGTGTGGAATGGTGTGGAGATGAGTGGAGTGGAGTAGTGTGGAGTGGAGTAGAGTAGAGTGGAGAAGAGTGGAGTGGCGTGAAGTGAAGTAAAAGAAAAGAGAAGAAAAGTGGAGAGCGGTGGATTGGATTGGATGGGTATTGGACTGGAGTAGAGTGGAGTGCATTGAGTTGAATTGAAGTTAACTGAAGTGAAGTGGAGTGGAGTGGAGTGGAGCAGTGTTGAGTTGAGTTGATTCGATTCGATTCGATTCGAGACGAGGTTCACGAGTGCAGAGGTGAAGTGAGGTGAAAGAAAGTTTGAAAGTTGAAAACTGTCCAGGCAACAACTACCAGACTGTGATTATGTTATTCTAGTGTTAGCTTTACCAGCTCAATTTGAGATATTTGAGAGCCCACGGTCTCCAGGCCCCTAAAAAGTTCAAAGTTTTGAAGGACATGATGGCCCTGTGATTAGGCCATGATTAGGCAACTTGTGTAAAACGCAAGGTAGCCTTTTCATGTCTCATTGAATCTGTTCTACAATGCTTTGATCCTTGAACAAACTACAGGCCCAGTCAATAGTTTGCTTTTGTGAGCTTGTTTAATGATGATGTTACCTGTATTATATTCAGATTAGGATCACTCAGTTAAATATCTCTGCGCGAGAAATAAGGAAAAACTGAACAAAGAAACAAATAAAAGATCGAGTCAAGTCCGGCGACTCGCTCGTCGTCTGAAGTTCTATTAGGCACCAGGAAAACTGAAATCGCGTCGTTTCGTTAGGACAGTACGACTTGCACTGCCGCCCTTCATCTTACTGTAGGCAAAGTCGTTCTATGGAAGAAAATGCTATTTTTTCATGTATATTCAAATCTGTATTCAAATTTCAATGTTGTTAAAAATGAAAACGTCTTGGCAGACGAAGACATAGAAAGAATGTTCCGATATAACCTAACGTGGAGGCGGGGCTAATAAATACGTGTTGTCAGTTCTCAAGGAAATCAATGAAATCACCCGACTTCATAAGATAATAAGTAGGACGTGCCTGACTCACACGGCTACGGCTTGTAGATTGCAGATCAGGGATTAGCTCAGTCAAAAATGTAGAGTCGACTGCGGGCAAAAGTTCAACACACGAAATGATCTATTCTTGAGCCAAAAACAAAATGAGTCGCAAAAACTGCTAACAATTACTTCAGGATAATAATTTTCGTTTATATTACCAGTTAAATTGCATTTCTGGAGAATTCACTTCCAAAACCTTGAATCTTTGTAATAGTGACAAAACTAAAAGCGAACACGTTGTAATTTAATCTCCTAGGCTTCTTATAAAATATTTCTGTATAATTACTTTGACTAAATCACGCCACAATTCGATCTAGGCTGATTGAAATTACACTGTAAGTTTTCAGAAAGTTCCCAATTTTACTATGAAGACAGTTGTCTTCAGTGTCGAGAAACGTTTTGAGATAAGCATCAAGAAGCTTGATAACTTATCCCGTAGGGATATGTAAGTAGTTTTTATTCTGTGTTTGAGTGTTTCCCTTATGCGATTCTTCTTGAGGAGCATTTTCCAAACCATTGTCATGAAGTGCTTCCACTCTGGCACCCCGTAGCCAGGATGTAACCAAACCAAGCTCAACTCCGGGGTGTGAATTTCCTCGCTGTGAACTCTGAGAGTTGCCCAAATTATTCGATGTACATGTTATGATGCGACGAAACTCGCTTCTAAATGCTGAATTCATGCCAGAGTATATGGCGGGATTTACGGTGTTTGAAATGTAGAGAAAAAACATGCACAGCAGTTCCACATTTCTGGGCATGTCCATGATGACAAAACGCCTTAATACAACAATCACCCAGAGTGGAACCCAGCACGACATAAAAGTGAAAACAACAATGAAGAGAGATCTGCTGAGTTTAATCTCTTGGACGGTGATGCGTGCTTCGTTTCTTCTCCTCTGACTGAGAGAGGGAAGGATTCCCATTTTGTGTTGACGGATAGCTTTAAGAACTTTTGTGTAACAAAATGCCGTGGCAAGCAAAGGTAATGCAAGGAAAACAGTTAAAACAATTAAGTAATGAATGAGTTTGGCTTGTTCTCCAAGGTGTTTGATAGAACATTGTGCATAACCCGGTACAAACTCGAATCCTTGCCAGTTTGCAAATCTCGGAATTGCGATGTAACAGGCTACAAAGAACCACACAAAAGCCAGCCACAAACGAGATTTTCTGTGAGAAAATATCTTCTTGTAACTTATACTTGACCTGCATATCCGAACGTACCTGTTGACAGCTGTCAAACTCATGGTTGCTGGGGAAACGTAGATGACAAACAGGCTGATGAAAGCGTGAAGTTGGCAAATGGTTTCACCAAATGGCCATTTTCCTGAAAACAATACTATTTCACCCAGAGGCATTACAAAAACAGCGGAGAGTAAGTCGCTTACAGCCAAGGCTATGATGTAGAGATTGGTAGATGTGCGCAATCTTGGGTTTCTGTAAACCGACAAACAGACTAAAACATTTCCCATAAGTGACAAAATGTTTAGAATCACTAAAAAGGAGCCCTCCAGGATAACCAGGGTTGAACTTCTTGATCCAAGATCGTTAGCCATTTTAAGTTCTGTGTGGCAAACTAAGTTGTCTCAATGAAAATAAAATTAAGGCAAAAGTCTTACGTCTTATGTACTAGAAGGAAAAAAAATCTTGACCAAGCTCATTAGATATGTTTCCGCTTTTTAAAAATTTCGACCAACTCTTTAAATATTATCTTTTGAACCTCAAAAGAAATGCCATTTATCAGCCTACTCTGTACGCACTTCATTGGTTACTCTTTCATTTCCGCACTTTCTATTAATGTATTGATTACATTGGTTTTTTCTGCACACTGAGTGTAAAGAAAAAAAATTACGGAAATGTCATTGACACGTGTCACTTTTGGGGATCAGCAACTTTCTTTTAGCTTTTCTCGGACGCCAAACTTAAATTGATTTGAGATACATACATACATACAATACAATATTGCACTTCTGAAAAGAAAAGACACGATTTTTTTTTTTTTTTTCGCAATGGTAAGAAATTGGATGAATTGTTTCAATGGCCGTCAGGTAATTTCACGTTTTTTTTTTTCGACAAAGCGGGGGTGCTTTGTTTGTAAAGACTACTTATCAATTTGGTCGAAATAAGTTTATGTAGAATGTTTACGTAGTAGGTAGAATAACATCGAAAAGGCTCGAAAATAGCGTTGAATAAATCTTCGTTTGGTTATTCGTGCGAAATAATAACTCTAAAAAATGAAACATTTATATGGTATTGATCCTTCAAGTACTAATATCTGCTGAAATTCCATTCAATGATTGGCTTCTTTCTATATATTAATTTTAATATTTGCATATAGCGTGTAAGACCCTTCTTTTAAGTACGAACGATATATTATAGAGTTAAACATACGTGCGTCTGATTAATTTATACCCTCTGTAAATTTGAAAAAATCCTTAATAACAACTTCCTTTATTTATGCCAGTGATGTAAGATTGTCGCAATCGTTTTACCGGAAAAACAAACACACACTTAGATAATTGATCTCCGTAATTGTATCTATTTAGTCATTTCGATTTTTTCGTCTTAGTTTTAATTAAAAGCATACATGTTCCGACTGAGAAAAAGAGAGGAAAAAGGCGAGAAAAATACTAGTTCGAATTTTAGTCTATATAGTTAAATGAAAATCAGTTTGGTACTGTATTTTATTAAATTATTTTATTATCTCTTTATTTCTTACTTTCATTATTTTTTGCGTTTAAGTTGGGTTTCTCCTTTTCTAGTAGTTCGGGTTAAGGATAACCTTTTTCTTCTGTGTATTTCAAGTGGTACATTTTTTGTCAAGCTTAAATAGACGGCACAGTTCTCGAATAGTTAAAGATGCGACTACTTTAGCTCCAGGCGTGTCTTGTACCAAATGGTGCTTGTTCATTTCTGTTACATTTTCCTGAAATCTCTGAATTTGGCGGTAAATTGAAAAATCGCCAAGTTTTTCTTAGACTGTTGTTGTCTCAAATGTATCAAACGTTGGACATTTTTCCAGCCTTTTACTTGGTTTACGTTAGACTTCGGAAGCCTCATTTGGCTTGATACTGTTTGTAAGCAGAGAAGCAGTCAAATATTCTCAGTTCAGTGCAACGAGAAGTAATTCACGCAATATAATAATTAACAATTCATACGTGCTTTAGCACACATGATCGGGGAGTGTGTGCCTGAAGATTGGAGAGCACAAGAGAAGCGTACAAGAGTTGTTCGAGGCACAGACGAGAGCATTTCTAGCTTCTTGAAGGCTCTCCAAACTTCACAATTCAATTATAATTCGTGCAAAGAATGAGATTAAGATCGCAAGAAGCTGACGAAAGATTGTTTTAATTCGCTCTTTTCTAGTTATTTTCTTAGGAGGTGCTTGTGTCAGTGATTTACACTACGACTTGCAATAAATCGCTAAATAAGGATATTCTAACTATTTTTAAAAATAATAATTATATCGTTTTCCCACCTATGAGGAGATTTGCTTCGGCAGTTCTTTTTCTATGGCTGAATATTATTTTGGTACTGTGCTGGCTTTACATATGCATGTTATAACATGTAGCGAGGGTGGTTTATTTGGCGTTCTCACATTCTTAATGAAAAGAAAAACAAAGCGTTCCCGCTGAGGCCCACTACGTTTTTCGTTGTTCGAAACCTACATAATCTAACGATCCTGAGCTTTACACATTTCATTTTAAATTTTCACGGTTTCTTTTTCATAGAATACAATTAGCTTCTTTTCCTTATTAGTTTCCTACTGTCGTGCCTTTTGGTTGAGACACGTTTCTTTAGAGTTAAATGTAGAGAACTACCATTGCAGATTTATTTGATAAAGAAAACAGAGAAGCCTGAACTGAACTTGTTTGATAATGGTTTTTTTTCCTTTCCTTTCCTATAAATTGAATTTTCTAAAGCCATCAGAAAGAAGAAATAAAACGTGGAAGCCACTGTTATTGCTGATTCTCTGCTGTCAAGTCCATTTACTCAGTTATAAGCCCACACAGGAATGAATTTCCGGTGGTAACCTATACCTTAAAAGCTCTGTTTTGCTGTCGTAAACTAGTACGGATGACTAATGAAAATGATAAATAAAAATTGTTCAGTATTTAGAGTCGACTCTATTCAAATGTTTTTCACTTGGCATCATTTGGATAATTAATTCACCTGGGTGATGAAATGAATGAACTTTATTTCTTCACCGCGTCCATTATCCCACGCGAAGAAATATTACCCCTAAGCGCACACCCGGTGGCTCGTGACACTGAATTATTTCGTTTTTGTCATTTCTCAGTATCTGACTGATAAAGAAAAGATAGCAACCTGCATTTGTTTTGTTTTCATAACGGAAATAATTTTAAAACACATTAGTGTTATCAGGCCAGTAGACTAGAAAACATCACCGCACTTAATATCAGATCACAAAATGGACAACAACAGTATACCAACTTTTAATGCATTTACTCACCTGCTGCGACGCAGAAACTGAAGCGACATGGCTTTCTTTGTGCAATACCGGTAAAAGAGGCAGTGAAATTTCCGCCACGCTTCCATTGTTTTGTAACCACCAAAAGTACCAATTCCTCTTTTTTAGGATGCTAGTTTCCTGTGTGTACAAAGTATATACATGTGAATAACCCTTTTGTATTAACCATTGAGCTTTGGCGGCCATGGTTTTTTCAAGGTTTTCGAAATGATCAGTTTTAACTTCCCCCTGACGTTTAAATTGCAAGAGAAAGCATGTTGTGTCTCGGGAACGTTAAGATCAGAATGCGCATAGGTAAACACAGGAAAAGGAATAAAAAAAAAAAAAAAAAAAAACCATGCCAAACAGAGGTAACAAACAAGGGTCTCTCCACCTACCCTTAGTCGTGAAGAAAATGCATGCCAGGTCACTCAGCACAACTATAGCCAAAACAGCTCAACAGGAAGCGTTAATTCANAAAAAAACAAAAAAAAAAAAAACAATATTGAAAAAATATAACTGCCGTACTGCAATGACACCGTTCTGGAAAAAAAAAAAATCGGTATTACAACATGACAAAACGATGAAATGGCGGTTTCTTTGAATATAACTTATAAAGGTAAATTAACAAATGTCTAGTACATGATATCAAAGATGGAATCCCCTCCAGATAAGCTCAAAAAGGTCTGCGGGCACTCTTCAGAATAGGGACAAACAGGTACTAGCTCTATCTTGTATGTTGCGTTGAATGCTTTGATTAACTCTGCGAATTGAAAGATGGGGCGGGGATAAAAGAACCTCTATTTTGCATAGGTGCTTAACTTTCCAGTAAAGCAGTGCTCTGTGTTATGGAGTAATACAGCTAACACATAACTTGTCTCTACAAATAACATTAAAATTTAAAGATTTATCTTACGAACATTGATCACGCCGATGATGAACGTGCATTCAAGTACATGTTAATGAATCATCAGGCTGCAAAAATAAATTATTTTAGCTGGATATTGAAAAAACCATTCATAAACCAGAAACGTGATTAATTAATGAATATTTAAAGAGCAAGAGTAATTAATTTTTCTTTCAACAAAATCATGTGTTTCACGTTAAAATTCGGCACAACACTTTTTGAACAGTTTGTGAATCCTCGAAGTTGAAAGTATTGCCTCTGAGGAATGAATTAAAAGGTCCTACATTTTGTTTGAAGCCTAGAATGTAAAGGAATAGCAATATAAACAATAGCCTCGATTTGGCGCAGAAACATGCTCGGATATTAGTCCGCGGACATTATCTGTTTCGAGAAGCGAACAGTTCTCCGAGAGAGTAGCTCGAGGAAAACTCTGAGCTTGAAGAAAAGATAATGTCCAAGAACAAATATCCGAGCATATTTCCGCGCCAAACGGAGGCTATTGTGTTTATTATCGTTCAAATATTTCTCGCGACGCGCGCGGTTTTGAAAAGTGGGGAATATCACTCTGATATTCATGAGTTTTAGCTGGGGAACATTCGGTCACGCGACGCGTTTAGACCAATCGCGCATTACCAAAAATATTTGATGGATTACAAATGGTGATATGCTTATATGGTGAGTATCGTCTACCAGTAATCACTCGTTTACATTCAGGTTTATATTTGTAAGTGCTTTCAAGGTTTGAAAGTAAATTACACAGCTGCTGCGATACAGAAACTGAATGGCTTTCTTTGCGCAATACCGGTGAAAGAAGCGGTCAAATCTCCAAAGCTGCTTTTTGTTTATGCTCACCAAATACAGCAGTAATTTCCTTTAAAATAGGTTGATATTTCCATGCATATACAATGTATATAATCCATTTACGATACATTTACGTACTTTTGCCTCGATTACTCTTTCAAGGTTTTCGAAATCATTTATTTCACGTTTAAATAGCGTTCCAAAGCATGCTGTTTCTCAGGGTCGTAAAAAACCAGATTGCTCAGAGGCAAGAGCAAGCTAAAAGTTGGAAAAATCATCTAAAACACAGAATACAACAACTGTACTTGCAATAATACTTTTCTGGGATAAATAATTAGGAATCCACAAAAAAGACACACACAAAACATGATTTAAAAATATATATATATTAATGATGAGTACACCGTCTATCGTTCAGTCCTGTTCGGTCTTACAACACGATGAAACGATGGAATGGTATATGGAATAAACTGGTTCTAGTCGTAAATTATTCCTGAAAAGTACAAGCACTCTCTTCGGAAGCTACTCTTGTCATTTATTTGATTAAAATTGCTATTTTCGGGTGCGTAGACTATTTATTTTCTGTTCTACTACGACGTTTACCATAATTAGTAAAAAACAACATTAATTTTCAGGGAGATCTACGTCTTTTGCAGTTTCCAAGTTATTATACATTGAAACATCTTTCTATCAGGGACGTTTGCGCCCAAAATGTTCCTATGGACAGAATTTTTTAAAACTTACGATGCAGCAAGGTAAAGATCAACTTTTGCCAAAAGATAAGGCGAGATGAGGTGC